GAGCTTCGGTGCTGCTGAATCCACTACCTGTGCTGTAGTACTGGGAGAAATCCCTGACCGAAATATAAGAAAAAAAAAACATAAGAGGCAGAAGGATTTTACAACTAGTATTAACTCCAAACATTTTAAATCAAGCTTGCCTGGCAGCATCGGGAGAGACAGCTCAGGCGGTTGTTGGTCACTCATCTGTAAAAAGACAAGAGATAAAAGCATGGATTTACAGGTCTTTAGATTTGGGATTAGAATGAATACTGCTCAAAACTGCCTTATACTGTAGTAGTACCTGAGGAAAGTTCTCCTTTATCCCCTCTCCTTTCTCATCGGCCATTTCTATGACTTCCCGGACCTGCTCAATGAATGAGTCCCGTTCACATTCTAAGATGAACTCACTCTCAACCTGAAAAGGAAAAACAGAATGCTTTAGCTACTGTAACAATAGCTTTTGGAGGAACAGTGGTGTATACAGTGGCTTCTACGTTTTGGAAGGTAACTTCCAATCCCATTCAGCAAATGATTGTTCAATGCAGAAAGAACTGTTGGTGGCCAAAATTAGCAAACAACAACTACCATGATCTGTGCAATTTCCTCCGGATTGTCACCATCAAGGTCAAATCTGAACGTCACCATCTTCCTGTTGTGAGTTTCCAGTTGACACTCTGCTACTCTGTCACCCACATTAGAGATCTGCAACAAAATCAATTTAGGTTGAGTTAATAAAATACTTACTAACACCTTTCTGAGAAAAGGGAAATATAAAAAAATGAAATGAATATAACTTGGACAAGACTAAATGACAAAGTCCCAACAATTACTGTATTTTGTGTATGTCAATCTGCAGCTGCTGATGCTCCCCTACAGATACTAATGAAAGAATACAGGCAACCCAAATGCTTAGCTATGGTTAAACATTATGTTCTCTTTGTAAATGGTAACACCCTACTGGTTAATGAGATACAGTTTATGGATGAGTCTGAGACAGTCTTCACCGTACAAGGTGCAGAATGTTTTGATCTAATCTCATTGTTAACAACTGCAAGACTACCAGAGTGTAAACACAAAAGTACACAAAGAGAAAAAGGAAACAAAGATATTTGTCAAGATTCTTACACTGATAACGTTCAGCTTGGCCTTTGCTGTCTTCTCGTGACGAGAGCGACTGCGTACAGAGCGTCTCTGGTGTCGCTTCAGCGAGCGCCCCTCGTGTTGACCTCCAGATGTTGAAGTACCGTCGTTGCCATCACTGAGACCAGAAGCTGCATCTGACAGGCAGCTGTAGGAGACACATCCACAAGAGAGAAGGGTCAGACAAGTTGAGGCTCATGAAACGGATATAAACAAAAGACTCTCTTCTCACCTTTCTACAGATGGTGGCAACAGAGGACACCCTACTGGCTGCTCTGCTGGTGTTGCCTGAGGAACACTCGCAGGACCCTGTATTTAGAGAAAAAAACAAAAATTAAGCTTTAATGTGAAATATCTTAAAACACAAGTAGTTTCAATTTTTAAAAAGTTAATTTTCGTAAAGTTCCAATTTTGATATACTGTGCAGCAGGGATGTAACGATGCATCGTGAATTAGTTAAAAGTCAATACAATTGTTGTTATAATTAGTGTCGGTAAAAACTGAATCGCACATCAAGGCGTATGGAGTAGGCTACATTATCTCAAAAAGTCAATGGTCATACCATGGGAGTACACAATCTAGTACAGTAGGTGGCGGTATGCGACTAAAAGCATTGGTTGTGACCTGCTATTAAACCAAGATATCATGTCCCTACTTGGCCTGCAGTAAGTGGCATTCAGGTGTTCATGCACAACAGGGGAAAAACTTCTTCCACAGACACGGGTTTAATATTTGGACAGCGAGATAAGACCAGAGCAGTTTGAGTTTTGATAAGAGGAGATAAACAATGATGTGTTTCTGCAAAGAAATGTGCATTTTTTTGTATTCTGTTATTTGAGATAACAATGTCAGTTTATTACACAAGACCATTTCAGTTGTTTAAGATATTTTGCATAGTTCTTGTAAAAAATGATCATTGTATTTGGTCACAATTTGTCTGGGACTCATTTTGTTTTCAAATAATCCTGATAAAATCGCATTGTTAACAAAAAAAGTGCATCGTTACATCCCTAATGTGCAGTGAATCCACATTTTACATGACAGGTAATCGAGGGGCTGTTAAAACACTTGATCTGAAAATGTTGCGGAAATAAATCCTGTTTTCCAAAAACTCACACACATTTTTACGAGACACAAAACTACTTGGTACAGTTGTAGAAAACCCTAGACGTGTCATAAGATAATCAGATGAAATGAAACACGTAAACGGAAACACATGGCAGTCTTCTCTTTCACATTGACTGGTTTGACTTTACACCACAAGACCACAAGCACTGCCACGTGTTTTTTTATGTTGCATTGTGTAGGTTCTGTCCATATAGCCATCACTCATATTTTATTAATTCAACCATTTGTGTTTACGCAGATGATTGCTTTTCCGCTTAGAATATAGAATAATCTTATTTGATTACGGAGACAAAAACGGGTGACATGTATCATTTTAAGAGTAGACAAGAGATCAGAGAAGTTAGAGGAATTTGTTGACATGATCAGGGTGATGCATTTCTTACAGATACATACGGTAAATACATGTTGGCAGACACAGACAATTTTTTTTCTGATCCACATTATTCTAACTCACTTCATCTAAGGTACATGACTACCACACATACTGTATGTTTATATACAGAAAACCCTTGCATCACACCCATGAGTTTTCCTATATAAACACAAACAAATAACTATTTGGGCTCTGTGGAATACCTGTACATTAGAGAGGCAAGAGTTCTGACAGAAGAAATTAAGATGTTCTGTATTGACTGGAGGGGACAGGACAGGAGGACTTGGCTCATTGGCTGAAGACTTAAGAGTCAAGCAGGTGTTAGCAGCATGAAGAAAATAAAGAAATATTAGCAAAGCAACAGCAGCAAAAGTTTAAAAAAAGTGTTAAGAGAATACAAACAAAAAAGAAGTCAGACAAACAATGACATTACCATATGGACACGTAAAAATGAACTTAGCGAAATGTGCACAATTTATGCTATAGAGATAAGAAGCACTTTATATGTGTTGCCCAGTGGCATGTCTCACCTGTAGCTGATGACCAGATGCCCATG